TGTTGTAAATACTTGAAGATGATGAGGTTGAGAGAGTAAAAATGCCATTTTCGAAAAAAAATTCAAAAAACATTTAAATGGCATTTTCGTAAATAAAATGAAGATGTGGGGTGAATAGGACAAAAACAAGATGAGTCAAAAGAAGAGGTTAGTTTTGTGTTTGACTTGGAGTTTTGAGTCAAATTTGCAAAAAGCCCAACAATTAAATGTCATAAAATTAAAAGTAAGCCCAAAACTCTATTCCATAAATAACTGCCAGTTTAATTTAAGTAATGCGGTTCAATCAACTATATAACTTGTATTATTTGTAACACTCTAAAAAGGGTCCAAATTTAAATGACAACTTGTATCAGTAGATAAAAAGAATGACTCTATTTTAATAGAATAGATATAAAGTCTTTAGTCAAAAAAAAACTCAAATCACATAATTAATCATAAATCACAAAAACTCAAATCACATAATTAATCCTAAAAAGAATGGCTCTATTTTAATAAAATAGATATAAAGTCTTTAGTCAAACAAAAAATCATAAATCAAATCTTTACAAAATTATTATTTAAATTCCAAGTATATTAAAAATCAAATCACATAATTAATCCTAAATCTCAACCCTAACCCCTAAACATTAAATCTTAATTTTAAACAAATTATAATTCCGTAAATAAATTAAATTTTCAAATACAAAATTTAGATTTTAAATATTAAATTATGATATGAAATTATTTAAATTTTAGATAATTTTATAAAACTTATAAATAAATAAACAGACAATTTGTATTATGTTTTTTTGAACCATTGATTAATTTGAATCAAAGGTCCAAAATCACTCTTGTATCAAATCCTCACCTTTTTTTCTATTGGTGGTTATTATTGATGGCATGTATCACTATCTGCACTCTTGGATGATATGAATCAATGGCTGAGATTAATTGTTTTTAATTATTTTTTTTTGTGAGATCTACGAGACAGAGAAACGAGAGAGAGAGAGGGGAAGAGATTGAGTTCATAGAGGAGAAAGAGAGAGAGAGAGAGATGAGAGAGAGAGAGAGAGAGGGCTTCGACACCGAAGCTGACCACTACTACAATCTTATCTTCTCCATCTCTTGAAATCCTCCGCTAAAAACTCCCTTTCTCAATCCATCTACCCTCATCATCATCGTCTCTCAGTCCCCAGTCTCACCTTACTCTCAAACCACCGCTACAATCCCTCTCGCTGCTTCTCTCTCCGTGTCCAGAACAACTTTTAACCGTCGCTCTTTACCACCACCACCATCCAGGTTGACGACGTGCAAGCCTTGTGGAAAAGAGATGAAAACGACGATTCAGTGTGGGTATCTTTTGACTTGGGATTTTTTTGGATTATGGTTTCTATTTTCCTCACTATTTTCTTTTGCTATAGGGTTTCGAGTTGGTAGACTATTTGTTTTTGTATCATTGGGTCTCGATTAGGGTTTCAGTTTGATTCTTTGTTAAAATTTGTGTCTTTCTTTTGATTAACGAGTTGTTTGATTGTCTTACTTAAAGCCATGTCTTTGTTTTGATTAATGAGTTCTTTTGATTTGTTTTTATCAGGTTTTCAAGGATCTGAGATTTTAATGAAGTATCAGGTCCTTACCTAATGGGTTTCATGTTGTTTCCATTCATTATTACTTATCATTTGAGCTTAGGAAATCTCCAGGAGTCTTCTGGTGGGAAGAGTAGCTGGTATGCAGGTAGGTTTCTCTTTTAACAGACATTCACAATGATTTACTTTCTTCTTGTTTGCTATTGAATTTTCAGAGTATTGACTCATGAATGTTGGTGTGTTGGGTTTTAATTAATCTTACAGGTAAAGTAAATACACGGCATGGACACTTGCCAATGGCTATGCACTTAACCAAGTCACTATCTCTGTCCAGCGGCTTAAATCTCATCCAAACAAGAAGAAGAGAAGAAAGTGACAGGAAGAAGGAAACCTCAAATTAGAGCTTAGGTTTTGGTTTCTTAGGTTTGGTTCAATTGTTTTTTGGGTTTATTTAGGTTTTGGTTTATTTTTTTTGGTTAATGTATAAACTGATTTTATTTGTAACAAAATTTAATTAATAAATTAAATTTAACTTTTAATTAATGTTTGTAATCATTTAAATATTTTTTACTTTTATAATATTATTAATTGTTTTTATTATAAAAATTCAAATTAAATACTACATTTTTAAAAATAAAATCAATTCATCATTAGAAATATTAACAATTGTGTAAAAAAACGCGTTATTGTTGTACGTTTAACTATAGCAGAAACGAAAATCGCTATTAAAAGTGTCGAACCTATTATAAAGGGCGATGTCAGAGTGGACAAGGAAGCGCTATTATACATGACTTATAGCGTTTTCCGTCTGCTATTACTACTCTTATTTCCTGTAGTGACAACCAATCCCTAGTTAACCATATATACGCCTGAGTTCAGTACTTATGTAATGTTAGAAACTAAAACTATACAAATATCATTAACTGGTCGACCAACAATCAGACAAAAACATGATCGGCCAATCAATGATACCGCATAACTTCAATATCCACCACCATTCATAAGCAATCACTCAAACAACACAGGCTAACGTCGGGTCTACACTACCCAAACAAACACCAAGTCTAACCCGGAACCTAACCCGGGATTAGATCACAATGTTAGAAACCTGCAAAACAATCAAGCACCAATAACACAATAATAAGATAATAACTAACTACGACTCGATCTAACTCGTAACACCGTATATCAGTGTTACACTTACCCTAGGGTTCCATAACCCTATACTCGACACAACACTCTAACTCGACACTCTAACATGGGCCCTGGTGACTTAGCGTTCCTCCTACACATCGGCAACATCCTAACTCCCTACAACAAAGGCCGGAAGAAGGAACTTTCAACCGACCGCGGCCCACAGTCATTCGGGTCACCACGCGACAGCCCACAGTCATTCGGGTCACTGCCGGACGTTACACCGTCGTGTAACACTCAGCCATAGGCCATGACCCCGTCTATCTATGTCTTCCCGATCCAACGAATAAGGGGTTTCCTTGAACCTGCTGGGTACGAGGCTGAGGACACACTAATCCACCCCTAAACATGCCTAGCATGGGCGGGTTACACACATGCTGTCGGCAAGACACAACTAACAACCTAAACACAACCTTATTCCAAAACCTAGCCTAAGGACATAGATTCCAGAACCTAACTATCCACAACCTAGCGATTGTTGGGGTCAAAATCGGTACGACGGAATCAACGGCCGAAACTCCCCGCAGAAATATAGAAGGAATCATTTTATAAAACCCAAAGAATCGTTTTATAAAACTCGAGGATTGTTTTATAAAACTCAAGGATCATTTTATAAAACTCAGGAATCATTTTATAAAACCCGAGGATCGTTTTATAAAACTCGAGAATCGTTTTATAAAACTAGAGGATCGTTTTATAAAACTCGGGAATCGTTTTATAAAACTCGAAGAATCGTTTTATAAAACTCGAGAATCGTTTTATAAAACTCGAAGAATTGTTTTATAAAACTCAAGAATCGTTTTATAAAACTCGAGGATCAATTTATAAAACTCGAGGATCATTTTATAAAACTCGAGAAGCCGTTTTATAAAACTCGAAGATCGTTTTATAAAACTCGAGGATCGTTTTATAAAACTCGAGAAGCCGTTTTATAAAACTCGAAGATCGTTTTATAAAACTCGAGAAGCCGTTTTATAAAACTCGAAGATTGTTTTATAAAACTCGAGGATCGTTTTATAAAACTCGAGAAGCCGTTTTATAAAACTCGAAGATCGTTTTATAAAACTCGAAGATCGTTTTATAAAACTCTAGAAGCAGTTTTATAAAACTCGAGAATCGTTTTATAAAACTCAAAGAATCGTTTTATAAAACTCGAAGAATCGTTTTATAAAACTCGAAGATCGTTTTATAAAACCCGAGAATCGTTTTATAAAACTCGAAGAATCGTTTTATAAAACTCGAAGATCGTTTTATAAAACTCGAGAAGCAGTTTTATAAAACTCGAGAATCGTTTTATAAAACACAAAGAATCGTTTTATAAAACTCGAAGAATCGTTTTATAAAACTCGAAGATCGTTTTATAAAACCCGAGAATCGTTTTATAAAACTCGAAGAATCGTTTTATAAAACTCGGAAAATCATTTTATAAAACTCGAAGAATCATTTTATAAAACTCGAAGATCGTTTTATAAAACTCGAGAATCGTTTTACGAAACCGCGAAAAACCGAAACAGCTATAAAACGCGAAATAGTCGCAACTAGTTCGCCCACCGGCGAACTAAGCCAGCGTGGCTTAGTTCGCCAGTGGGCGAACTAGTCTCGTCCCGACTAGTTCGCCCACCGGCGAACTACTGACTTTTCCCCACTGGTTCTTTTCGCCTAGTTCGCCATATGGCGACCTGGCCAAGCTGAACTAGCTCGCCGTACGTCGAGCCGACCATCCCGAGCCTCGAGCCCACATCCTTGATTCAAGGCATACGTCCCTAGACACGATTGTATTCCGAATCACGGTCAAAATGTCTCCCGTTTCATCTTGATCCGTCCTATCGTTCGAGTTTTCTCGAAAAGAACTCGAGGAAATTGTATAAAATGGCAACGGTTAAACGAAACACCGAATATTGCCTAAACTATACGATTTATTCGAGATTTTTCGTAAAAATCGTACAAAACGCGTTTTTAATAAAACCCCGAGTAAATCGTAGAAAACAGCAATGATTAATCGAAACATCAAACATTGCTTAGCTTTACGATTAACTCGAGAAACTTATCCAAAAACGGCATCGTATCAGGAAACGATCTCGTCTAAAGTCGTAAAACGGATTTATCGCAAAACGGCTCAGAAAGTCATAAAACTCGATAAAAGCCACTCACGACTTTAAACGAAGTCCAACCCGAAGATACGACGACGTTTTGGCGATTTACTCGCAGAAAGTAGATAAATGTCAAACTTGAAGATAAAAGTCAAGTTTGAAGATAAATAGAAGATTTCCGCGGGAAAAAAAGGAAAGATCGAGATAAATGGAAGATTCTCATTAAACTCGAGTCTGGGCGAAACGGAAAGACTAAACCGCCTAGGAAGGGAGTATATAAGCAAGAGGCGTATGGCAGAAGCAAAGGGACGAAATCCAGAGCTCTCATCTGAGACTTTTACAACTTTTCTAAACTTAGAACTTTCCGCACTTAGAAACTTAGGCTTTTTCTCGACAAGTTCGGTTTCTATGACTGGCGCTCAATTACTAGACAAACTCACCCAGGCAGTTCGATCTCTGGACCAGCTCTACCAACTGAACTACGTTCGACTTGATCACCGAAAGGGGTACGTAGGCAGCCTTTCATAAGGTTCAGTCCGAAATCAATCAAACCTTTTTTCCTATCTTTTCCCGTCTTTCATTATCGAGCTGCGACTCGACTAGATCTAAGGTTTTATGTTTATAACTCGCTGATGGCCCCTGCGGCCAAAGCCTTTGTAATTCCTTGTAATGATCGCAACGCTCTTACGCGAATCGGAAATAAGATCGACTTTCTTTATAAATTCGTATTATTGCGTTTTTCATATTTTTCCGCATTTATTTGGTTACTTGTCGTTGGATTTCGTAGAGATCCGGTTCCTCTGGAAAATTAGGGTTTTCCTAAGTTTCCGTATTTAACGGAAATCGACAAGTGTGAATCTCGGTTCCCACAGCGATATTATCTAGACTCAACACTAATCAATAGTACCAGTAGTCCGGCCTATATGGCCAAAGACACTTAGTACTAACATCTAAACAAGTAAATAACAATACTTAATAAATAACAACTCAACCGGTTAGTCACTCCCTTACCAAGAGCTGACTAACCTCAATCAACAAGCATTATATAAACAAGCAATCACTCAAGCAAACCGTTACCTAGATAGTTTAGCCTCCTGCTATGAAACTATCTTTAATGATAACGGGAACCTGCACTCAACCATATCAACACACAAGAATAGTAAACATGATGCATCCTAGCTCTAGTCCTAGTCAGGTTATTAACTCAGTCTTAATTCCATTTCATCTCAGTTTAGCCCTTGCTAAGCTTAGTCCAGATTAATAATAGAAAGTAACCCTAAGGACTCTATCAAGCAATAGCATTAGAATTCTATTCTATATGAATACTCGATCTATATCTACACTAAATTCCAAACATAATTCAAACATAACCAACTAACAGTGTTCTAGGCGACAAGCAGCTGGTTGATAGAAGAGGACTTGGCCAAAACCCAACCTGGACGACTTGAATGGACTGGACTGGACTGATTTTGACTCGGACAGAACCTCCCTTTGATTGTAGAAGAAAATGAATGCCTTGGATGGATTGATTTGGGCAGCGCTTCCGCGTTACACTCATAGAGAATCGTCGATTAGACAGAACTTACCTTCTTGGTAGATCGGTCTTCAGAACTTCGACTGATCTTGGACAACACCTCCACTTCATCATCAGAGAATAATAATAGAGTGGATGGATTGATTTGGACAGATCCTTCCCTAGGCACTCAGTCAAAATCAGTAGGGAACTGACCTCGAGAACTCTCTAAAACTCTCGAAAAAGCTCAGAAACTATCGAAACCCTAACTTTCTCTCTCTCTTTTTCTCTCTCACGTTTTGGAGTGGCTTTGGTGTGGTCTGGATGTGAAGAAATGGAAGGGGGTCGTGGGCTAGTTATAGGACACAACAGCCAATGATCAGAAGCAAGCCGTGTGGCAGCCCGTGTGTCACTTCGCATGGCTCCGGACGCATGCGTCGCAACACCTCGTGCTCCACATGTCTTTTAGCATGGCCAGGACTCATGAAAAGTGACACCTCTCTCCTGCATGGACGACCAAATGGCTTGCTGCATGACTGGAGTGCTTGCATCGCGACACACGGGTCACTGGGTGTCGATACGCATTGTTGCAGATACGGTGACA